GTGTGAGCCTGCATTAGTGCAAGTGTGTGTGAGCGTAAGTGAGAGTGCATTAGTGCAAGTGTGTGTGAGCATAAGTGAGAGTGCATTAGTGTGAGTGAGTGTGTAAGCGTGAATGAGTGTTAGTGTGTGAGCGTGCATTAGTACGAGTGAGTGTGTGAGCGTGAATGAGTGTTAGTGTGTGAGCGTGCATTAGTACGAGTGAGTGTGTGAGCGTGAATGAGTGTTAGTGTGTGAGCGTGCATTAGTACGAGTGAGTGTGTGAGCGTGAATGAGTGTTAGTGTGTGAGCGTGCATTAGTACGAGTGAGTGTGTGAGCATAAGTGTTAGTGTGTGAGCCTGCATTAGTGCAAGAGTGTGTGAGCGTAAGTGAGAGTGCATTAGTGCGAGTGAGTGTGTGAGCGTGAATGAGTGTTAGTGTGTGAGCGTGCATTAGTACGAGTGAGTGTGTGAGCGTGAGTGAATGTTTGTGTTTGTGCAGTATAAGCGTATCGGGGGTGTTATGTTATGGAGGCCCCGCCTCAAAGCCAGAGGCTCTAGGCAACTACCTGCTCTGCCTATAGGTAGTACCAGCCCTGAGAGTGTGTGTGTGTGTGTGTGTGTTCACCTGCGTTCTGTCAGTGCGTTGTGACTGAAGTGCAGGATGAGTTGATGAAGAGGGTCCGGCTGAGTGTCTGTGATCTCCTCCTCCTCTTCATCAGTCTTCGGCTGCGTCTTCTTCACACACACACACACACAAACATGAGACACTTCAATCATGTTTAATATCAGCTACACAGCCACAGTGATGCTCTATCAGCACATCTCACTTGTCTCTCACAGATCAGCCGTCAGTGAATCCGCTCATCTCAGCCTGTATGAGTGTCGATCACTGTATCTCTATATGTTATGATGAAGTGCACAGAACACCACTACAGTAAAGTACTCGTACGGTACGGCTGTCAGACGGTGATACCGTGCTACTTTGATATGATTACATGGTACTTCAACAGCATCATACCTTAGCACATGGTTTCCCAAACTGGGGTTTGTGAGCAGATGAAAACAATTAATTTATTAATTAATAACTAAAAGCACCTACTAAAAAGATAAAATATTTTATTTGTTTATTTGCATGTCATGCGACCATTAAGACACACGAGAGAACCTTGAACATGCAAATGTCTTGTTAAAAATGGAATTATTCACTTAAAGGGACTTCAGGTAAATATGTTCTGGGTCAAACGGGTTCAGCTGAAGTTTGCGTGTGAAATGACCGTCATGCAGCCGCAGAGTTAGTGATGATCAGCTGAGCAGGTAAACAGAACCAGCATGCATCAGTGCAGGAAATAAAGACCTGAACAGGAAAAGGAAACACCACAGTTTGAGCGTTTATGGATAGAGCCTTCTATCATTTCTATGCCCTTTTATAGTATAATAAGTGCGATCAGTGTGTTCACACTGACAATAACAATATAAAGATTAGATGGAAAAATTTTAACAAAGTTGAAGTTAAATAAATGCTAATAATACAAACAAAAACTAATAAAAATGGTAAAAGCTTAAACTAAAAGCCAACTGCAATATAACAAAATGCTATAATACTACGTACACTGCCGCTCAATAAGTTTACAAAAGTAAGACTTGTAATGTGTTTAAAGAAGTCTCTTCTGCTCATCAC